GGTTTGTTGCTATTGTTTGGACTAAATTTTTTTTTTTTTTTGTAGAAAAAAAAATAACTATTAAGAAAGCAATAGACTTTATTACAGAATCATGGGACAATATAAGTAATACAACTATTCAAAACTGCTAGAACAAGACAAGAATTCTCCTAAACACAAATGAGCCAAATATGGATACTGTAGATCAACCCAAAAGTGATATTCTATTAGAAAATAATGAAATTAAGGAAATAGATACTAAATTACTAGATGAAAGTTTATATATGCCAGAGACAGCTCAAGTTATAACAACATATCTACAATAATTGACGAACCTGTTGCTACAGAAGAAATACTTGATGACGAGAGGATCATTTCTATGGTTCAAGCTGATGAAAATGAAGAATCAGTCAGCCAAGAAATTGAAGATAAAGATGAAGTACCTAATCTATCTGTAACAGCTGCTAAAGTATTTAATGCAATGCAAACTGTTATTCGCTATAAAGAACAGGAAAATTTAGAGTCAAATCTCTCCCTCAAAGAACTAGTATTTTTAAGAAATTTGTTTAAAGAATATAAACATGTATATGAAAAGTCGAAAAAACAAAAAAAAATTACTAGTTTTTTCAATTTTCAAGGTTTACATTCTTATGATTCACATCTAGATCTATATTTCCAAGATTTGTATTCCCAAGACCCCTATTCTCAAGATTCGTATTCCCAAGATTTATATTCCCAAGACCCTATCTTCAAGATTCATATTCCCAAGATTCATATTTCCAAGGCTCTTATTTCCAAGATTCATATTCCCAAAACCTCTATTCTCAAGAATCAGATTTACAAGAATCAGATTTACAAAAATCAGATTCACAAGAATCAGATTCTCAAGAATTATGCCTTCAAGATTTATATTTCCAAGATTTATATTTTTTTTATTCTCAAAATTCGTATTTTGAGAATATAAATATATAAATAAATAGATTTTAAATTTGTTAGTATAAAGACTTTTATTCGAAACCTAGCTGTCACTATTTTTTGTAGTTGGAATTATCTTCACATGATCTCTAGCCTGTAATTAATACATTATTTAATTAGCTTAAGTTGATGCCTATGTTTCTATATGAATTATTAATATATACCTTAATCTGTGCTAATATTCAATATAATGAATATTTACATATTGAATATGATAAACCTCAAATAGAGAGCAACATTATAACTCGAAATAATACAGTAATAAGTGTCTAAATTTCAATTGTGATACTATAAACTGATTACCAGAAATTTGTGCTATATGTTAATTGTGATCAGGAATAATTAACTAAAATAATGAAAAAGGAAATCAGAGTACGGTTGTGAGGTAGCATTGTATTCAAGAAGTCATGACTAGAGGTATTAATGTAACACCATAATTGGTCATAATTATAATAAATTACAGCAAAAATGCTGTAATTCATTATCTTGGCTGTGAGTTTGGATTTTCATAAAAGTTGTTCTTGGATAAGTTTATCAAGCTCTGAGAATTAATACAATAAATAATA